CGTGTGATTTCCCTTTCAACCACAAAGAAACACCTGCCGCACGGCTCTTTTCGTTCCAATAACCTCGCACTGGTTTATTTCGGTTTTGTCCTATCTAATTCCCGTGATCAGAGCGCGCGCGAGAGAGAAGAAGCAACCCCACCCTTAGATTCTCGGATAACTTGTGGTTCCTCGCTAATTTACTTCATCCCTTTCATCGTCATTGTTCATGCATTTATTCATGCTTTTGTTATTATTATTACTATTATCTTTATTCTTCTTCTTATTATTATTTGGTGCTTAGAGTCCACTGTAATTCTAATGACTTGATTTTTTGTGACAAAGAAATACAGTGGCCAATTAGATTACTGCAATTTCGTTGAATTCATCACCCAACGGTCACACGGTTTCACCGTGCTCCAGCGCATTGGCTCGTGCTGCTTGTATTCGACCTGATGCTGTTTTTAGGCAACACAGCCCGGTTAAAATTTCTTGCATGGAAGAGGAAACTAGTAGTTCACAGTTTTTCTAATAACGGTAGTAAGTGCCTTTGGAACTGTGTTGTGTAACGCAGTATCCCAGTAAAAACCGGAAGGGACATTTACTATCAAGCGTGGCATCAAACGCAGTAGTTAGCCGAGACCAAATACAAGATTTGAGCAACGATGCTAGCCCGTGAACAACCGGAGCGAATATCCTGGCAGTTACGACTGACAACTACCCCGAAACTCATGATCACAGCGTTTTACGGGACATATCACTGGCACCAACACCCCGTTCCTCAACTATGTTCAGTTACGTTTCAGTTTGTACAACCATAATTCAACACGACGACGAAGCCGCACCTTGACGTTGTGTGATGGCTTGCGTGTCTCTGTGATCTTGTGAGCTACACAGGATAGCTTCTCATAGCAGCAGAACTAATGATGCCTGAAATGGCAATGGGTAGAGGCCAGACAAACCGCAATCTCAAAGCCATCTGATTTTGCGCCTCTTCGCTTCTGTTGACTATCCACTCTCGCCCCTGGAGAAGTCACTGCAACAAATAAACACGGGAGGAGCAGATTGCTGGTCAAAAGCCCCCGATAGATGGACGTAGGAATGATTGACTTCGGGCTTCCTCCCGACGGCAGGAAAAGTCTGCGCACTCCATTGGACGGTTGTCGCCTGTCCAAGCTGGGCTATCCCCAGGCAACATGATGCTGTCTCAAGCACTTTTCCTCCATTTTCGACTGTCTCATATGGTGCATTGAACGAAAGGCCGGTCCTGAACTGCGGACCGACGAACAAAACATTACACCGAAGCCATAAGTCTTTACGTATCAGGTCTCTACAATCTCCCATGTAGATACTTCGGTTACGTCATCTCATTAGGCCCACCCACCCCCCACTGCTTTGTGAGTCGGGCTTTGAAATCGAAGGTTCTAGTTGGGGTTCCCAAGTGAAAAGTCCTTTGTCGGTGTGGGCACCCGTTTGCGAAACCCACTTTATCCCTCTCTTTCTCTTTCACATCTATAAAAAGAACAATGAAATAGGCACCAAAGTGCTAGTAGGTGCAAAGACAACCCCGAACAACGTATTGAGATTTTCTGTATGAGTAACTTCTCGCAAACCTGATGGAAGGAATGGCGCGAAAATGAGGTTCACTTTCAGCTTTTAAAACCACTAATCATGCATTTTCAAGTACCGTTTTTGGGTCCTGTCCATTTGGATGGAAAAGCAAAATATAAATTGGAAAATTTGAAAGCGAAGCGAAGAAGAGGATGTATATATATATATATATATATCACATATCCGATGCCAGACTGTGTGCCAAACAAATCATGGTACAATAGTCTTTACAAAAAGAAAGGCGTTCCATGATTTGCTTGTGGGCTGAATACTGCCAGCTTCTCCAGGCCAATGTAGGTTAATTTTTCTTGAGGAATCCACAACTGGAGCATTCAGCTAGCCAAAGCCTGACCCGCAATGCAGCGGGGTGGTGTGTGAAGGCCGCAAACCATTGGGGTGAGTGTCCAGTTCATCAGGTCGTACACCCTTAGAACGGGGTCAAACGTCCAAGGTGCCCAATCGAGCCGATGACCACTGTCACTTCTGTTCTTGGTTGGTTTGGAATCAGGGTTTTTGGCCAACTCCCTTGGGTGAACTACCGATGATCCACCAACCCGATTATAACCCCGTATGTTGGATTTTCGCCCTCTCACTTTGGTGGGAAAACACCTTTGCCACAGGAAGGCAGTGAGCAGGGCTTCCTCAGCAGAGGCTAATCGGGACGTTTGGTCGTATTCGAGCATTTCGCGAGGTGCTTGGAAAGGGTTACCAGCGGTAACTCTAGACCCCAACCCCCGACCATACTGACGCTTTTGGAGGCTTCACTCAACTATAATGTTTTTCTAATAAGCTTTATCGACACTTCTTTTCCACCCCACTTCGTCCTTATCTCCCTGATTAGCCCACATTTTTTAACCCGCTGGAATCTGTTCAGTTGTGGTGAAAAACAACAGGGTTGATCAAAGGCAAGTGCTAGAATAATTTTAATTATTCTACTTTCTCGTTTCTCAGTGCGGAATCAGCGAGAGATGCACCTGAACACCAATCGGAAACGAATGAAGACGGACCGGGATCGAGTGGATCGTTCGATTCACAGGTACAAATAGTTGATTTCGCTTGATTGTCATTTCGGTGTACATGTTCGATCCCGAAGTGGGACAAAGAAAGAATGCTGAAAAATGTCACTAATCATTAATTTCACTGTGGTCGTCCAGCTGTAAACGAAAGCGTTTAGCGATTATCCCCTGGTAGCAAATCACGGTACAATAATCCGAATGAAAAACAATAAGTTCCACGATTTTTTTGTGGGTTGCCCAGGTCAAAGTAAGTGAAATAGTGAGGAGGGCTTCCTCAGTATAGGCTGTTCGAGACGCTTGGTCCTATAGGAGCATTTCGTGAGATGCAAGGGAATGACGACGAAATATAACCCAAGGCCCACCTCCAACCATACTGAGCCTTTCGGAGGCATCGGAAGTCTATTGGTTATGGAGGTTATGCGCAATACTGAGTCTCTGATTGAAGACCTAGGTGCTGTTAGGAGAAGCCACAGGTGGTGGAACTAACTAACTATATGAAAAGAAAATTACTATACAAAGGAGCTGAGTGCCTAAATACCACTTTTTATGACACTCCATCATTGGGTAGACTGGTTTTAGGGAGCTAAGCCAAGAGAGCCTGAGACGTTCAACACAACAATTCTAATGGTCTTGCGTTTCGTACTTTATTGTATGGTCATGGTCTCAGGACCCATTCCAACATCGTCTATCAAAAATTGCCGCTGCGATCAAGGTGGCTACGTTCACGTAATGTTTTGTAGTGGGCTCAATAAATACAAAGTTATAGTTTCAGTTTTTACAACCATTAACCATGCATTTTCGTGCGCCGGTTTCGGTTACCCATTTGACTGAAACAGCAGAATAAAGATTGAAATGTGAGAACAGGGTCAAGAAGACGAAGAATTCCTATAAACTGGGGCAGCAGTCTTAAATACAAAGCATCAAATAACAGAGCTGATATTCTAATGGCTGACGCAACCCACATAACAGCAACAACCTCAAGAAATCCGGCTTCGTTGATTTCGAAAACATCCTAGCATCAGGTCACTCAGTCGACTTGACCTCATCGCTCACGACATTGTTACGCACTCCTGTTCCGAGGCTGTTGGCCTTCATTGAAGCCTTGCTCACGATGGTTGACGGGCCACCACTCTGTGCATAAAAGAGAATTCCGCCACAGTAGTTCCTCTTGTTTGTTCTGCCCCCCTTTTGTCGTCGAACTTCGATGCCCCCCCTGAGTTCTTTTTTTTGCGCCCTGTGGTAACATATGAGTGACGTATTCTATCTAGCAACCGAGGAAAGTGAAGAATATGCTTGTGCCTCGTTACCAGAATCTTTTGATCGGTTGAACTCAGTTGAACCCGGTGTTTCGAAAGAAGAACATCCAAACGTGATCTTCCATAGATAACGTTCCATTTTTTTAAAATCAACATTGCTCGCTTTCATCTTAACCGAATCTCGGTCTACATCCTGTCATTACGGCCCCACAGACTCCAGACAACAAAAAACAGGTCGGCAAATCCAGTCGTACTTCAGGCGTCGTACGTTGCATCGCTCACGGATCTGATCCACAACTTCTTGGGCCTCGTGTTGTTCCGCGCGGACCAAATCGGCAATTGGTTCGTGGTCCTGACCCGAAATTACCTCGCGGACCGGATCGCAGTCTTTTGCTCGGATATCACTCAACCGATTCGCTGAACAGAGCAGTTCATTTCGGTATGGTCAAATCGATCTTGTGCTCTGATCTGATTTGAGAGTACGCGCACTCTCTCTCATGTGCAATTTCATCCGATTGTTTATCTCTGATATTCTTCCAGTTCCCCACATTTATTCATTCCCTCCTATTCGTGTGATTTCC